RAGAATATTGATGCCTGCCACTAGAGGTGGCCTAAGACATTTGATAAAAACAGTCTGCACCTTTTTAAAGTTATTTCTTTACTCAGAGTTTATTAATGGTTCTTTCACTCTTGCCCTTCAATCAGTACCTTATGACAGGACTTCTCAAAGAATGAACGTGCCACTGAATAATCGGGCAGAGGCCACAAGTACTCCTGGTGTTCAGTGCTGTTATGGAAACAAGAACTCTGCATGCTTGACTGTTCCGTGCACTTTGTCAGATCTTGAACAGGATGAAAGTATTCACTGTGCCACCACATCAGCTGAGGAAACATCTTCCATTTCTGTGAAAAACATTGCTTRTTTGTGAAATATCTGCAGAAGATTTTTTTCCTAAGTAGTTTTATGAAGAATCACCACTACTGCAAATAAGGTGTCCAAGTCCAAGCTGCTGTTATGAATAAACTGAACTGTGAGACTGAAGTTTACTAATACCTGGCATGGCAGAATTTGCACATTAAATAATTTTTTAACTGTGGAAAATCAGAATTTTATTCTAGAATGGATAGGTTGTAATATGAGACAAATCAGATTCTGTTTACACATTGTTACCTCATGCTTATGTCTTGAATGTTTAAGTAGTTAACATTTTTTAATTAAGTCACTGCATGGTGAGCCATGTAAAAGCCAAGAATTTTAGAATATTATTTCTTAAAATCATCTATATAGTCCAGCAGCAATACCAGCATCCATTTCAAAAACTTCAGTGGAAACCTTTCACCCAAATTAAACTGCATCCAGTATTGAAAAGCAAGGAGTTTGTGGACTAAGATACAGCATGAAAACTGAAGTTAATTTTCAAAAATACTGAATAGCWTAAGTGTCTTACCAGCAAAAAAAAAGAAAGCTTGCATGGTGTAGGAATCTGCTGTATGACATGAGAAACAAGTTAATAGTTGTGGATGGTCTTGACTCCACATTTAGCTACCAATATTCTCAACTATTGAAGGAGGTATGTAAACAAGAGCTAGACGAACTGGAAGACAACCTGGATTGTTCAGGATTGTGCAATATTGCTAAATGGGAGTATATGAGATATTTTCCAGCTCATTCATAGCTATTATTAAGTGGGCTGCAATGTGTTACTATTTTTTGTAGTAGCATCTATGAGTTTTTAAGACTCAAGTAATGAGTAAATAAACATCATCTGACTCTGGCACTCCACAAAGCATGACCACTCTACCACCTTTAACCTGTACCCTTGTTATTTTTCAGATTTACATCTGTGTTCATAATTATGCAGAACTGGATGTCCATAAACCACCTTAATACATGCTCAATAYTTACCTGTTGAATGTTTAATTTATAAATGCCAAAAGTATGAAGTAGTTCAATCCTTTATGATTTTAATAACAGTTATCTGTATCCTTCTGAATCCTGGCCCCTTAACTCATTTTCACAAGAGGTAAGAAGAACAAGCTTTATTTAAGTATTTGAAGAGTTAATGGCTTTAGGTATCCTGTCTTAAATGAAAGCCTTGAATTATGAAACMGAAGTATAGGACCAGAATAAAGTAATTTCTCTGTACCAGATGTAATAATATGCAGCTTGGGTTAAGATTGTTTTGTGAACAGCTTTTTAGTTTAAGAAATACCATGCTCATGCTAATTCTTGTSTTGAACTTGCTAATGTGCTCCAACCACAAACCAGTATTTGTAACCAGCAATGCACCAAAAGTGTAAAGTGGTCATGTTCATGGTGAAAAAATCTGACAGTGGCTGCTACTATTTGGGCAGACATCACTTGAAATACCTAACATCAAAGGGTATTTTAAAAACTGGAAAATATGATTAATGCAGTTTGTTGTACAGCATCTTCATTTTTATTACTGTCACATCAAGTTGAAGCTTTCATTGGGAAAAAAAAATACACTTTTATTTACAATAAATCACAGGCCTCCTTTTCTCTTTCAATAGCAGTATTTACACCAACTACTGGTGTCTTGCACCAACTACTGGAAAAAAACATTCCTCCATGGAGCCTACTTGATGCCTGTTTAAACTGCACAMTTTCTGCCAGTCTTATGGGCAACAAATGCCTAAGAAATTGAGAGGTAGGAGCAGACAAAGGATCAGAAAAGGCCMAGGCTGTTGAGGAGTACTTCTCTTCCAGATGGCTCCGCCTGCAAGCTGCAGAGGGAAACTCAGATTGGGCTCTGGGTAGGAGCCACGCTTTAGGATAACAGAGGAGATGAAAACTGGTGACTGAGGAGGGGGAGAGACATGGAGAAGGGAGGGAGAAGACTGAGCAAATAGACTGACATGAGGCAGAGGGAGTGTGAGGATATAAAAGCCTGGGGGTGCTCCCCAGAGGTACCATCTTGAGCTGTTACTGCACCAGAAATAAACTGCCTCGTGGAATGGGATGTCGTGGGCTCTGCTAAGAGAAACCTAGGGTCAAACTGGAAGGGAACATGGTCTGGCTGAGTGTGAGCATGGGGGGAGKCAAGAGGGAAAAGTYTGGTGTGTAACTGCCCGTGAGTCTYATGAATGGTCAGACTGGGAAGTTTCCTTAACAAGGCCTCTGTACCTAACCCCTTATACACAACTTGAAAATGAATTATCAATCACTAAATAATGTGAAGTATTCAGCTTGAGACAGTATCTGTTTCAGTAGCAGCCAGAGCTTGGAGGTAGTAAGTGTTAAGGTTACSTTTGGGCAGAAGCTTTAGAACCTTACTGTGCCTATTCTTTTCTTTCCTAAGCTACATCCGGACTCCCCGCTAACATCAAGTATGCTAAAAGAACAACTGTGAATGACACATGCAGTGTCTTTTAAAAGTTTAAAATCTTTCTCTAATTAGAAGCATCAAACTCTTAAGACTTAGTCCTTGATATCAGCCATGCCAAAATTTAATCAAATTGATTTCCCCTTCTTACAGGAGTAATTCTGACGCAGCAGCCTTGGTCTTTGCAGTCTGTCCCCTCTCTTCTCTGTGGAAGCCCAATTCACATAGTACTTCGAAAGGGGGGAAAAAAAACCTTTCAGGTACAGAATACCTGGATCATAAAAAAATTCTCTATTTTTATAAATTATATAAATAAGCCAGTCTTACACAGTTGCTTCCTCAATAAATTTATTGCCACTTTTTCCAAATCTTCACAAAAAACTGTGGAAGTTGTCTTAACTATCAGTTCTGCGCTCCTGGGCCCTGAGGAAACTGGCCTTCTTCTGAGCAACCCGGTCTTTCTTCTGCGCGAGGGACATCTTGGGACAGTTCCATCTGCAATGCAAGCACAGTGTACAGTAGACCAAAGGCAGAAATAAGCAAAAAAAGCAGGCAAGAAATGTGCAGTGCACCACCACGTTGATTAAGAGTGCAATGGAAAAGTATATTCCCACTTCTCTAACATGCTTTATTTCCTCATAGTGATCTAAAGCTGTAGTTAAGGCACCATAAAAAGGCATTGCTGGACACTTTTAATTTCTCAAGAAGTTAACTTGATACTCTCTTGTGACTGAAGYATAGACATTATCAAGCCCAATGCCAACAGCTATGCCTTGATCTCTTTTATCCTGCACCCCTGGAAAGTCAAAATAGTTTAGTACTGACAGATTAGTCCACGTGCTCTCAGCTGAAGAGAAGCAGCTTTCTCACTAAAAACACTGAGACCTGAAGATAGCACACTGTTCCAGCTATTCCAGCCACAAGCATTCTTCACTTGGATTTTTTKTATAGTTAAGGGCTCTTGAATTTCATATTCCTACTGCTGAAGTTACAGGAAAGTGCTTGTATCTTAATGTGATGTAGAACATGTGACTATTGACACAACTGCAAAAATTGCATTACTTGTTTTATATAACTAGAATATCCCCAACAGAAAAGTCACATGGATGTTAAAAAGAATGAGAATTTTACCTCTTTTTCTTGACTTCTCTCTTGGGTTTCTTTTCATGGACTGGATTATCCCGTATAGCAGCATGAGCTTTTTTATACATTTCTTCCATCTTGGAAAAAAAAATATTAAAATTACCATAGTGGTCYAGTTGTAGGATTACCAGAAATCCAAGATCCCTGTGCCTGTACTGCCCCCAAGCATGTACTAATGCTGCTCTGTCCCAAAGWCAACTCTGGTTCCATAATGGCACTAATTTTAAGAATACCTTTGCTGGTGGTTAATTAACATCACTCATCTCAGCTGTGAAAAGCTTTCTAGATGTACAAACAACAAGTGTCTATATAGTGACCTAAGATCTAGACTCACTTCATTTGAATACGAACTGCTGTTTGCTTAGAAAGTAGATGAAGCTGTCATTTATATTACTTTTATTTTTTAGAATTTGTTAGAAAAAACTAGCAGTTAGTTAAACTTACAAAAACCCCCAAAACCCTACTGAAATAAAGGGGTAGAGAGTGAAGTTCAGTTTGCTGTAGCGTAAAAAGGGGGTATRAGTGAGCTATGTTTTAAAGCTCAAAGATGCCTTACTAGGAAGAACCAAGCAAGAGTATTACAGGWCAAGCCATCTGTAAAGATTTTAATACTTGGAAAAAGTAGAAGCAGCACCTCTGTATTCTTACCTATCTTACAGTATTTCGTACAACTCTAAAATGTGAAACAGTACTAATATAAAATGTATCCAGTGGGCTCTCTCTATTCACCTGGAACATGGAACTACCCCTAGGGTGACACAGAACAATGGGCTGTGGTGCAGAATAAGGAATGAGTGGAGAGCAAATATAGAAATTAATAATTTAGTTTGTGTTGGGGAGGAGGTAAGTGGTCCAGTACAGTCCTATGAGACTGSTTTTATAGGCAGAATGTTAAGTTTCACAGCAGAAAAAAAAGGACCCACTTTCAGAATTCTACAATATACTAAAGAGCTCTTAATAAAAGAAAATAAATTTTCTTTGGATGGTTAACACACAACATGAATCATGTAATTTTACATAGCAGTCTTATCTGCATTATTACAGAAGTCCCTGTGAAAGACTTATCAGCATCTCTATTAATGCAGGAACTCCAGCTGGATAAATCTTACCCCATCAGGTGTTACATTGTTCTTTATGTACTGGGAGAACTGTTTCTTGTAAGCATCTTCATCCTCCTCCATCAGGTACCGCATATAATCGGCCACATTCTGGCCCATGATGTGCTTGCGGTGAACCTCCGCATTGAACTCTTTGCTTTCCGAGTCGTAGCCAGGGAAACGTTTGGTGCTGTCAAACAGCAGGTACAGTCACATTAAGACTAATTCAGAGGCTAAGAACCACACTGAAATGACTGATACATCAGATTCTCCTACAAATAACTGAGGGATAGGACCCTCTAATTAAAAAATAAAAATAGGAGTTTTAAGTTCACCTCAGCTGCCATCAGTCCCGTCTTGAAACACTGCAGTACATCATATACACACCATGGACCAACTACAGAGTGTTCAGTCATTGCAAGAATCATCATGTAGCAGCCAAGTGAAAAAAACTGAACTTGACCAATTGTCAAGAATAGGACAGTATGTGAGAGGGCAGGAAAACACACAAAAGATGTAATGATTTTCTTTCCTCCACTGCTGTTAGCAGAAAGCAGAACTCAGCTATAATATCAGTGTTRGATAACAGTCAAAATATCCATGTGGAAATCTTAAATGAAGGAGGACCGCTCAGACTTACTGTTGTACTGACAACTGTAGCAAGTATCAGTGGGTTTGTACCTAGTATGTAGTTTTGCAGAGAAATTAACACCTACACACAATTTGGTAAAGATTTAAACCAAGCAAATACCCTTTGAAGATCTGGTAAGTGCATTCGCTTGATTTTTAGTAAAAGCAACGAAATAGCTCTTCAGTTTCTACAACCAAAAAGTGCAAACCAGAATATACCTAGAATATATAAGCATTACCCTATCAGAACAAAATTATTTCAACATAAGGTGATTAGTGTAAGTAGACTGTCACATACAGAAGCACCTCAGATCAACTTTGAAGAAATTCTTTGAAACATACATTACCTATGAGGGATAGACAGCCCACCATCCACTGCACCCTTCAGAGCACCAAAGACTTTGTTTCCAGTGGTAGTTCTGGCAAGACCTGCATCCAGGTAACATGTAAAAGCACCAGGCTTGCCATCCACACTTTCCACATTGTATTCATCACCAGTGACTTCAACTTGGCCTTCATAGATCTTATCAAGGCCAAATTTATTCAGAAGCTGTGGRGAAAGAAAACACACTGAAATTCCTTCCATTTATTGATGAAAATGTAGAATTACCACTACTTGAAATGGGAATTTGTAATAGAATCAATAGATTCTATTGAATAGAATGTTTTTAACAAATTTCTTTACGAAAATTATGCACTCTGTACTAGTAACATAGCTTTTTAACAACTGTCATTGTGTGGCTGTTAAGTGTCAACCTTCTGTGCCAACTGTTACACCACTGATACTAAGATTTATTCATGAGTCCCTGTGGAAAATGGATGGATGCTGTTCACATGTTTTTGAGCTCTACAAGGTGGCATTCCTTACATTTTTATCCTGACTCCCACCCTTGCTCCACAAAACTTAAGGGCTAAGACATAAAAATGGGCTGCTGGAGTTGAAACAGTGTTGTCACACTTCTCGCCGTGATTTGACAGTCACAAAATGCATAAAATCTATGATGGTAATGAGTGAAAGCTACCATTTTGAGAAACCCACAGGCTCAGGTGAAGGAAGTGGTTTTTCCCCTCCATGAGGGCACCAGAAAAGCAGAGCAGCAGGTCCCAGGGGCTGTGCCCGTACGTACCCTGCGTGCCAGGAGCAGGCCGGTGCAATAGGCGGCAGCGTAGTTGGTCAGGCCGACCTTGACGCCGTACTTGGGCAGCTCGTGGGCATAGGCAGCACAGACAATCATGTCACCTTCGATTCTGGCGTAGGCGATCTGACAACAAAGCAAACGTCAGTGTTCCCACCATTCAGGCTCCAGTGATTGTTTCTCTGACACCYACTCAAGCCAACAGGAATACTGTATCCAAGTGTGCAAAAAACTGCCAACCTCTGCATGCGAGATCAAACAGCAGTGTTTTGGTTTGTTGGGGGCTTTTTGTTTTTCTCCCCTCACCCTTGTGGTTTTGTTGTTCATTTTTGCAAAAGGAATAATCAACTCCTCAAGTAAAGACASAAAGAATTCAAATCTGTATTAGACCAACTAAAATGTATGTCAGCAGCACCTTGTAACACATAGATCAAGAGGCCAGAAACTGCCTACAAAGCAAGCGAATTTCAAAGAATCATTATAGATAGGGATGAATTCTGTCCCACTTTATGACACACCTCAAARAATGCAAGAAGCAGATGATATGTTRTGGTAACATTGTTAGTAACCTTAYGGAATGATTTTATTAATGGTCTAAGACCATCATCATCTCAGGGGTCTCCTGTGAGACAGCAGTACTGTCAGATATATTTCTGCTGTTCCTTTCATGAAGGGAATCTTCTCCTTTTGACTCTCACACCTCCTCTCTACATTGAAAAGTGGTCTTCTTTTTGCAGGATTTCCACATACTGGAARGTCACTGCCACCACTGATCTTTGGTTTGAATTTAAAAGATAATAGAACCTTATCAATGACCAAACTGATAATTCTCAACAGATAATTGCTCTATGAAAAATCAACAGTTAAAGCTTTTCTAGCACTTTTCAAGCTTTTCTTGATCTTAACAATATACATTTATTATATAACAAACATTCCTAAGTTTTTAACTTCAAAATCAGTCAAAGCATTCTAACAAACAAGAAAAATGAGCCACAGTGAGGAACTGCATAWGATGCTACACACAACCATGTACTTAATGACCATGAAAAAGTGCCTACTATTGTTATTTAYCAGTCTCCTTTAATCTCACAGGAAAGCCATCATAAAGCCTCAATGCCACATTTGATTCACATATCATGGAAATAGAACCCTCAAAAGAGAAGGCACCTTTAGATACAGCACAAGTCAAAGCAGGTTGACAAGTCACACTGTCAACTTCTCTGRCTTCAGCCAAGCAAAAAAAGGCCTCTTTTTGAAGCCCTTTTGACATA